TTCAATCTCTTTCTATTATTTTCTTGTTCGTTCTGTGTGTGTTTTTTTCTCTGTAAGGAAACACCTCGGGTTAAATGTTTATTGAACTCTGAAACTATTTTCTCTGTCCGGATCAATTCACCACGTTGCGGTCACAAACGGCTTTGCCTGCAAATGGAATCTTGTGGGGATGTGTGTGTGTGTGTGCGCGCGCATGCATTAGCAGTGTTCTTCATTAAGCATAGTGGTTTTATTTGTATGTACAAATATAAGCACTGAGGAGTAGCCTAGTTGCATAGCTATATATGTACGTATTAATTAATTAATTTATTTAATTGTTTTTCCCCTCTAAACTAAATTCCAGTATCATCATATTTCATATTTTTGTGATAGATAATAAAGAGTGTCATTTTAGGATTATTTATGTACTATTATAGTATTTATTAATATTTTGTATTAGCTGTTATTTTTATTTTAAAATTATTTTTCTTTTTGTTTCATTTTAAATGTAATTTAAGCTTTAGTAATTTGGTTATGTTTTTATTATATGTTTTTATATTTCTATTTAGCTTCAAGATTTGTTTTATTTCACTTTAATATTTCACATTAATTTTAGTATTTGAACTTTATTATTTTATTTTATTTCACTTAGTTTATTTTTAATTAAAAAAAAAATTCATAGTTTCATTGATTTAAAATTTTTTATATTTAATTTGTATTTAAAGCTGCAGTACGTAAATTATTTTGGTTAAAAATGATCCGAAATCAATATCTGAGCAAGTACATAACCAGCCAGTGTTCGAAACTATCACCTTACTTTAGCCCGATTCACAACGGTCATCTTATAATAATATTTTCTCATTTGAGTGGTACGGATAGGTTTTCGCGGGAAATTCGAGCATGGCACTGAGTCATTACGTCACGTCTGTAAGCATAAAGTAGTTGTCCCGGCTACTAGGCTATCGCATGTGAGGATCCTGCAGGTGACGGATCGTTTATAGCCTTTTCTCACAGCAGCTGGAATAATTAAATGTATCATTTTGATGGCGGATTGTAATCCAGAAAGGATTATGTGTTTATGAAACACATGTGAATGAAATTAAATTATATTCCAGTTTTAAATGTGCTTCTGATTACAGATAGCCTGGGATTACACAAGATTTGTATTTTAAAGACAACCAGTTCGAAGGGAGCATAATTTGTTTTTTGGGTTAAAAGAATTTCTTAATATGAAATTCGAGTGGTATGACCATTAGAGATTAGACTGTGCAGAAATTGAAATCTACACGCTTATACACACTATACTCATAGTCACGCAATGCTGATGTTGTTAACATTAACAATTTGAGAATAAAGTATAACAATAATAAAAATGTGCACGCTTTGATGTGATATGAGCTCATTTAGATTAAATCACCATTGGTTGCACGATTTATTGTAATGCTTTTTTCCTCAGTTGGTCAGAACAAAAGTGGCAGACTTGTTACTTACTTGTTCAGATGACAATATACGGTGACAATTCTTATTTGGGTTATATATTCCAAGACATAGGCTAGAATCTGTGACACCGGTGTGGTGACTGACTGCCACACATACTCCTCAAAACATTAGATTAATCCGCGCTGGAGCCATGCTGCCGCACAACCCACGCAAGGAAGATAATTCCGCACACAGCTGCAATTGCAGGTTTTCAAACAGAGATGGTGACAAAGAGGCAAAACTTACGGACTGCAGCTTTAATTTGATTTCAGCTTCATTTCAATTAACAATATTTTAATAGTTTTAGTTTAAGTTAACAATTTTAACACTTATAAACAAGTGAACACAAAGGCAAGAGTCAAGCTAAAATATATTTATATATTATATATTATATAATATATTATGTTTTTCATGTTAGATTGCGTCACGTTATCACATGTATTTAAAATATTTTTGTATTTATTATTATTATATATATATATATATTATATTATAATATTATATATATTATAATGTATATACTGTATTATTATGTTTTGCTGTTATATATATATATTCACAGCACTATATATTCCCTCAAATAATTTTAGTTATTAAAGTTTTATTGAAATTTAGCTGGAAGCCTGTGAACTATTGTGACAACTTACCATATTTACTTTATCAAACTGTTTGGTCAAAAATAGTGGAAATGTTTATGGAGTAAAAAGTATGATAATTAGTTATTGTCTCCCGTTACTTTAAGAAAATTACAGTATCGCTATACTGTATTTTGCGTCTTGAGATTTTTACTTTTATATTTTTCACACTTTTTTTATTAAATGATTTTTTATTTTTTTTATTTTGGCATTAATTTTTATGAACCAACATAACAATACTATATTATTAATCACAGGTATTTATTGAAACAGGTTGAACTGATGACAATGATGCCCTCTCATACTGATAAGTCGCAAGCAGGATTGCTAAATTACTGTAATGACACACTCTTTAGGAAGCTTAATGACCAAACAAAAAGCTCATTAAAACCGTTGCGATATTCATAATGTTGCTTAATTTTATATCACCAGCAAAATAACCATGAATACATCCTGAATATTCACTATCTCACCCAGCACTAAGAAATACACTAGTACACATGGTTTGTAGGTCTACCATGTTGGTTTGTCAGTTCCTATGTGTGCATGTGAGATCTGATAAGAGCAAAACCCTCAACCCATCTTCTCCTTTTTGTGTGAGAGAGAGATTACGAGAAAAAAAAAAAGAGAGAAGGAGACTCGAAGAGATGGAGTGATTGTAGAGACAGATAAGTGTGGACTTAGTAGAGATAAGCAGCAAGTAAGCACACACAATAATCAATCACAGATTCTTCTCACCATTCTCAACATTATTGCTTTTTGAGTGTGTTTGTGTACGTTCTTATGTGTGTGTCTGGGTCGGTATGTTTGCTTCGCTTTCCGTCTGAACTATATTCCAGATATTTCTTCTCGTCATAAGTTGTTGTGACAGCTCACGCACCTCTGTGGTTTTTAGTCAGCGAATCTCTTCGTCAGTGTAAGTGCCAGCTGCCTCACTCACACATTAGCATTGTGTTCAATCAGAGTGTGTGATGCAGTGTGTGTAATGTATGAAAATTGCGCTTTCTAAGATAGTGTTGAGTCATCATTGAATTTATTTTCTGCCATATGTCCTGTCTTCCCCTCACCGGCCTCACGGAAGAGAGAATGACACTAATGAGGGACTTCCTGTCATCTCTCCATTTGCTCAGGATCTCTCTGTACCTGAAACAGCGACGGGAGACAGAAATGATTATTGCAGAACATTTTGTTAGTTTTTTACGTAAAGTTTTATTTTGAGTACATCCAATAAAATCCCTGTCAAAATACTCTAACATTTGAAAAAAGGATGAGAGAGGAACTTTTTGCAGGTGTGATGTACGCTCAGTTTTGCTCATAGTTGTTTTTTAATGGAGTTTAAACTTAATTGAGTTTTATCATGACAACTCTTTAGCACGGTAATGGATATGACAATGTTAACATATTTGGTCTTGGCAGAATAGATCTGCTACACTGCTGAATTGCTGCTGCTGTTGGTTATTGCTGTAGTTGTAGATTATTGCTGCTGCTGCAAAGCAAGTACAGGAACTTGCTACTGCCAATACATATGCCGCTACAGTGCTGTGAGTATTTAAGACATACTGCTGCTGCACAAGTAACGTGACGTGACATGTGGCCAAGCATGGTGACCCATACTCTGAATTAGTGCTCTGCATTTATCCCATCCAAAGTGCACACACACAGCAGTAAACACACACACTCTGTGAACACACACCCGGAACAGTGGGCAACCATTTTTGCTGCGGCGCCCGGGGAGCAGTTGGGGGTTCGGTGGCACCTCAGTCGTAGTATTGAAGGTGGGAGAGAGAGCTGTACATTCACTCCCCCCACCTACAATTCCTGCCGGTACGAGACTCGAACCCACAACCTCAGCCCGCAACCATAGCATACTGTATATAATAACCCGTATTAGATCTATACAGGTGGAGCTGGGGAAGGTGGAGGGCTTCAGAGGAACTCTGATAGCATGCTGTGAAATGCTCTAGTGAATTCTAACCAGCCATTTAGACCAGCCATTTAGATGTAAAGCAGTGAGCAATCAGCTTGCATCTGTGCTTGCATCATCTAGAGTTTCATGACTCACTCATGATTTGTTGGTATGAACAGTCACAGTTTTCCCCCTCAAATTCCTTTGGAGTCAGGGAAATAACACAAATCAGAGTTTCTGCAGGTCTTGAAAAGGCCTTTAAAAGTCTTAATTCACACTTTCACAAATTAAGGCCTTAAAAGGTATTCAATGGGAGCAGAAAGACTTAAATTCATAAAGTCATCGCATTAAATGTCAAATGCACTGAAGAAATAGTTCTTTCTATATTTGTTTTCTAATACATATATCTAAACATCCTTAAATCAAAATATATTTACTTGAGATTAAAATCGAATGTAGTTTTGAACAAAGTTACATGTTATTTTTAGTTTATACTTAAAACGAGAATAAATATGTCAATTGGGTATTAAAACACGTTTTTTTCTTTGAATTAAGTTGACTTTTCTGACCCCTTTTGCAGATATTTGTTCTTGTTTTAATAAAGAACTTCATCAATTTCACACAGATAAATCTCATTTTATGTAATTTTGCTTCTCAAGTAAATGTATCTTGATTTAAGAATTACATTCGGTTTCTTTACATGGTGTTAAAAATATCTTTAAAAGTCTTATATTTACCTTTTAAAACCTGTAGAAACCCTGCAAATGTGAGCTTTTAAAATGACAGCTGCATTGCAGCTCAGAACATTTGGATGAGAATATTTGAGTCGGTTTTTGTTGGCTGACTTTGACACTATGCAGTCTGCGACGTATCTTGGGCAATTTCTGATGCTTATAATAAGTTTATTTTTCTTAGGAGAAACACCTGAGAAGGAGAATTGTTTGCTGCTTAGCTATAGACAATGAAATATTAAATAAAAATGATTCCGTCTGTCTCTACAGGGGGTGAACAGCATGTTTCAGGTGGTCCTGACAGGAAATAACTCTGAGCACTTCAGCATCTCTCCCACCTCAGTGCAGGGCAGAGCAGACCTCCGTGTGCGTGTGGCCATCCCGCTGGACTACGAAACCATCAGGAGCTACAGATTTTCTGTAAGTGCAGAAAACACACATTTATAAATTAACGTTGATTTAATCGTGATCTTCCCAATTTTGAGATGTTCACTTAAGACATAACTGACTGTCTTTGTGTAAATACTTGCCAAGACAGACATTTTGACATATTTTTGTGTAAATCTGACCGTTAATGTACGTGCCTGAAACCCCAAATATACTTTGCTTGTTCATGCTCTGCCTTGGAGGAGGAACAGTCTCTTTTGCAGTTTAATGCGTTTTTAATAACTCATTTTAAAATAAAGCCTGTCCTACAGTAGACTGCCTTTTACGACAGTCACGTTACATGATTTGACTTATTTGGGTGTTAAGCTTTTAAGGATGGTCAAAAGCACACCGCTTTAAATTAAAGAAACGGCAAGCGGTTTAATAATCGTTTTATTCAAATCGAAACTGAATTTAAAATTTAATTCATCGCACTACTATTGCTAGCTCATATTGCATTGTTTAAAGACACGTGATATAATTTGGCCAGTCATAGTCATCTAGTAGGCAGTCATTGCTGTAGTTTAACATTATTACGAGAACATAAAAGATCACGAACTCTAAGATTCGCTTGAAAAGTAGATCGTAGATGTCTTCTAGATCGATCCCGATATAAAATCGTCAGATCGCCGACCCCTAATATACAGTACATTATTATTTTCCTATCTGCTCTATTTGATGTCATAGCTCATTCTAGATATTAGTGAAGGGTTTGTGCCCATTCAAGTTGTTTGAAAACAATAATTATATTTATATAATTATATTTATGTTTTTTAGCGCTCCTACTAGCTCCTAGTAGAAATTGCAGTTTTACATACACTATGACTATACTATGTGTCACATTTTATTTTTTGTTTTTCCTGAGGTCCCTGAAAATGATCAATTCATATTTACACGACGATGTTTTCAGCCAAAAACGTTTTGCTGTTCGTTTACATGACAATGGCGTTTTGGGGACTGAAAATGCATATTTTTGAAAACGGGTTTCAAAGTGCAAGTTTTTGAAAATGGCACAGTTATCGTTTCCGTGTAAACATCCAAAACGAGAATATTTGAAAATGGTGACATCATGCACGTACGTAGTACGTGTTAGGTATGTAGACATGCGCAGTGCGTGTCAATTTTAAAGGCAAGTGCGAACAAACATACACAACAATGGCAGAGTACATGGTACAGTTGTTGCTGCTCAAGAGTTTGCTAACGCCTCTTCAGCAAAGTGTGGATTTACTTCACCAATATTACAACCAACAGCGGAGACGCATCATATACAACATATAATCGTCACTTCCCTACAGGTACTGTTTACTAACAAGATGACAGCGCCAACTACTGGCCTGGCATACGTAATACAGTGTTTTTTTGGCCATTTTTGCGGATATGTGTAAACGCAAATCATTTTGAAAACGTTGTTGTGTATACGTGAAACTTTTTAAAAACGCAAGGGAAAACATTTTCCGTTTTTGACTACATCATTGTCGTGTAAACGTAGACTTTAGTCACCTGTTTTATGTCAAGAGTGCAAGAAAAGACTTTTTCCTTCACATTTTCAATGACATTGTCCCTTTAACACAATTCCAGACTATATCACCCCATAAATATAGCCTCATTAACCCTTAACGATCACTTATTACCCGCTCATATTATCTGAATTGTGAATCCATGCTGTCTGTCTTTTTAACATTGTCATAAAAGCTCTTTTATTTCATTAAGTGGGTTTAGTGCTGTGATCCTGCACCACCGGCCTGTAAAATCAGCTGCAGATTCACAGCTCAATAGCATCACTTTTCATGGTGTGCCATTATTCAGCGAGCTGTTAAAGCAGGTGGGATCACACACACGTTCACTGTGAAGCAGGTGAAGTTAATTAGTGAGTAAGCAGTCATTTAGCATGGGGTTACCCAGCTGTTTCTGACTCCTGTACCCCTACAGCCCCATCAGCAAAGCTTTGAGGAAGTAAAACATCTCTGTTCTACTTGTGTGGGTTTCAAATTGGTCACTTGTGAGGTTCCATTTCTGTCATGATTCTGCCTTAGCAAGCAGCAAGGAAGCTCACTAATTGTTTTAGGAGAACCTCACTTTGCAGAAATACAGTATCTGCATTATAAAACAAGTGTAGTTTCACATCACAGCTGTGTGCTTGTGTTTGTGCACCTCAAGCCAAGGTTCAGTCAGCAGGCAGAGAGGTGATCGGCTGTAAGTGGAGTCGAAGATGAACATGGCCTATTTCTTTGAGGGCTCCAGTGCCGCAGAGGGTTTGTGAAGCTGATGTCACCGATCTGGACGAGCTCACGATCTGTGACATCATGCATCAGCTTCTGTGAGGATATGTGCATTCCTACCAGGATGTATTTAACATACAACTATGACAAACCATGGCTCACAGCAAAACTCAGACAGCTTCGTCAGGCCAAAGAGGATGCCTACAGGAGTGGGGACAGAATCTTGCACAATCAGGCCAGGAACATACTGACAGAGGAGATCAGAGTGGCTAAGAGGAGCTACTCCAAAAAGCTGGAAAACCAGTTTTCAGCAAACGACACTGCTTCAGTGTGGAAAGGCCTGAAAGACATTACAAACTGCAATAACTTGCTCTGACCATCTCTCTACACAACCATTAACACCTCCAGCAACCCCCCTCTCCCCCCTCCTGCACTTCAGATCAGTGAAGATGATGTGCATCAGGTCTTCAGGAAGCAGAAGAGAAGAAAAGCACCAGGCCCAGACGGTGTTTCACCAGCCTGTCTGAAAACCTGTGCTGACCAGCTGGCTTCCATCTTTTCACAGGTCTTCAACAGATCACTGAAGCTGTGAGAAGTCCATGCCTGCTTCAAACGCTCCACCATCATCCCCTTCCCAAAGAAACTCAAAATCACAGTGACTTAATGACTACTGACCTGTTACAACATCTGTAGTCATGAAGTCGTTTGAGAGACTGGTGTTGGCTTACTGTATCTGACGGAATCACTGTACCCTCACTGGACCCCTTGCAGTTTACTTATCGAGCAAACAGGTCCGTGGATGATGCAGTCAACATGGAACTGCATTATATCTAGACAAACCAGGGACTTATGTGAGGATCCTGTTTGTGGACTTCAGTTCGGCTTTTAATACAATCATCTCAGCACTCTCCAGACCTAACAAACTCAGCTATCTGTTCCTAGCTCTATCTGTCAATGGCTCACCAGCTTTCTGACAGATGGGAACAGCTAGTGAGACTGGGGAAATTCATGTCATACAGCCGCACCATCAGTGCTGGCATCCCCCAGGGATGTGTTCTCTCCCCACTGCTCTTCTCCCACTACACCAACGACTGCACCTCTACTGACCCCTCTGTCAAGCTCCTGAAGTGGGACAATCACATAGACTCCATTATTAAAAATGCCCAACAGAGATTGTACTTCCTTTGCCAGTTGAGGAAGTTCAACCTGCCACAAGAGCTGCTCACACATTTCAATTCAGCCATCATTGAGTCTGTCCTGTGAACTTCAATAACTGTCTGGTTTGGCTCAGCTACAAATTCAGATATATCAAATCAAATAGATATGCATATGTGTATTTTATTCACGTCTTGATTTCTTGTTATCTGTGTGTTGTTGTTGCTGTCTCTGTGTACTGGAAGCTTCTGTCACCAGAACAAATTCCTTGTATGTGCAAACATTCTTGGAAATAAAGCTCTTTCTGATTCTGATTTGCTGCTCAATAAACATTTTTTTTATTATCAATGTTGAAAACATTTGTGCAGCTTAAGATTTTTGTGGAAGCCATGATACATTTTTCTTTTCAGGATGGTGAATAGAAAATACAAAAGAACATAATTTATATGAAATAGGATTTATATATACAGTATATATATATATATATATATATATACACACATACATACAGTATATAAAATAAAATTGTATTCATTTATTTGAATTTATTTAATTTACAATATTGATATAGTCTGTGATTTAAATCATACATCATGCACAGCATCAGCAAAGGTCAAGTTGGGATTTTCGGTTTTAGTTTTGTTGTCAAAGCTGATTTTTTTTTTGTCTTGTATTACATAATCTTACCAAGTTGTTTTGTCTTATTCCATGGGAAGGTTGTTTTATCACTTCTTGAGCATAAATGTCTATTACTTAGACATTTATTGCAGTGTAACAACAAAGTCATGCTTCACAATACTCTATATAAACAACCTATAGTGTGTGTGATAAGGCTGACATATGAACGGAAAGCTGATCTATCTCTCTCTCTGTCCACAGCTCTTCTCTTCATTCTCCTCCCTTTCTTCCTCTCTCTTGAAATCTCTCTTTTACTCATCTTATCACGGTTCTCCAGTTTGTGAAGACGTTCATCTTGCGTGTGTGTTTATCTAATTGCTGTAATAGGTTTATTCAGTAAACAGTTGATGAGACTCAGACATCGCCCCGAGGCAGCACTTGTCTTTCCTGTTGTGTGATGATTCTTGGATTTTGAATTTTATTTTAAATGTAAAGATATAATATATATTTGTATATATACATGACAATCTTACCCATAAAATAAACTATTTTTGCTGCTTTAGAATAAATTATTCTAAAGCAGCATTTTATTCATTTATGAATCACCTTTCTTTTTGGACATGCCTATATGAATGTTTAGTCCGATTGTAACTTCTAGAGACATTTTTCCGCTAATCTCTGTAGATTAGTGAGGCCCTAAGGGTCTCAGAGGAGTGTAGGCCTTGATGTGCGTGTTTTGGCAGATTGCTCTGTTGGATTAATGTGTCACTAACAGCTTAGTCTCAGATTCACTTTGACCACCGAGACTAATACTATCTCACACACACTCATTTGAGTGTCCTAATAAGTCGAATTTACGCAAAACATTTGAGGAAACTTGTTCCATCAAAGGAATTAAGTAGCTAATGGTGTCTCTCAAAACTTGTCATTAAGTTCACCTACTGTGCTTTTTGCAAAGAGTGAACTTTATGATCGAACTAATTACAAGTAGATTCATCTCAGTGTTTCTGCTCAGTAATTTCAGTTGTTTCTAAATCATTGATTCTAAATTAACTTAATTTAAAACTAAATTAAAATCATCATATTGATTATATTGTGAAATATTATTGTAATTTAAAATGTCAATTTTCTATTTTCTTATATTTTAAATTTTTATTTATTCCTGTGATGCAAAGCTGAATTTTCAGCATCATTACTCCATTCTTCAGTGATCCTTCAGAAATCATTCTAATATGCTGATTTGCTGCTCAAGAAACATTTTTTATTATTATCAATGTTGAAAACAGTTGTAATATGCTTAATATTCTGTGTATTTTTTCTTTGAATAAAAAGGTCAAAAGATCAGCATTTATTTTAAATAAATTTGACCTACGTCTAAACTCACATATTCGATTCCCCTCACAACTCCAAGCCACCACAATGCGTGGGTGACACGTTTGCCCATAAAGATAGCGTTTTAATGCCGGCGTGCTGTATGCGCTTGCGTTTTATTGAGATGGGAACTTTATATTTAAAGGGGTCATATGATGCGATTTCATGTTTTCCTTTGTCTTTGGAGTGTTAAAAGCTGTTTGTGCATACAAAAGATCCGTAAAGTCTCAAAGACTAAAGTCTCAAACCCAAATAGTTATTCTTTATAAAAGTGAACACTCAGCCACGCCTTCCTAAAACGCCTCGTTCAAAGACGCCCCCACATATCTTCGTCACTGTGTGGGAAGATTTGCATAACACCGCCCAAATGTATACGCAAAGAAAGAAGGCATAACTTTTATTCTCGCTGTAGTATTGTAGTATTGAGGACACAACTAGAAATCAGTGGTTAAGTTTTATTTACAACACTGTTCCAGAGCAGTACAACCCAAATATTTGAGTCCGTGCAGCACATTTTACGGAGGAAAGTTTCTTGAACCTGGAAAAGAGCGTAACATTTGCGTCACACGCTTGAGGAATTCGGCCAATCACAACGCACTAGATAGCTGGCCAATGAGAGCACACTTTTCAGAACGATGAGCTTTGTAAAAATGGACACGTTTCAGAAAGGCGGGACATAGAGAAGCAACAATAAAGTACAGTATGTGGAAAATAATGTGTTTTTGAACCTTAAACTGCGTAAACATTGCATTACACCAAATACACAAAATAATGTTTTTTAGCAACGTCATATGACCACTTTAATAGCACATCCATTCAAAATCTGAGGGTCTACCATGTGCATAGTAAAGCGATCACTGACAATCATTTTGGGCGGGAATTAATGTAAACACAGATATCAGATACCAGTCGTGTCTATTGTGAATGTAAACTAGAACACGACCGATATGGGTTTTTTTGTGGGCCGATGCCGATACCGATATTAGGGAGTAAAAAAGAGACCTATATCGATATATCGGCCGATATTCTTTGTGTAGGCTCTATTATAGTACAGTGTAGTCAAATATTTGGACATGTCCCATTCGTATGTCCAAACTATTGACTGGTACTGTATATAGAATACAGTATATACATAAACAATATATACACATAAACACATTTTTTGCAATGATAACTCAAATGTGGTGATCAAACACTTATAATGATGTGACAAACATAGGACTATGTAATGGAGGCAGGGTATTTAACAATTTAACAATAAACATTATTATTCAAAATGAGTCTGGCATCAGTGTACTTAACAATAAAGTTCACTTATTATAAATAACTTAAAAAGTAATATAATTTATTTGAAGCAGCCTATAGTGCTATAGTGTGTGTGATAAGACTCACACACACATACACACATACACACACACACACACACACACACACACACACACACACAGAGACGTTGTTTAATATTTATAAGTGACGGCAGTGGTTGTCATTATAAATATTTATAGTGATTTAGTTTGTATGTCTCATGAGATGAGGGCAGCTCATATCTGCTAAATTGCTTCTTTGTTTTCAGTCTGTCTTTGGCTGTGGTTTGTTTGCATCTCTCTATGTCCTATTTATCATTTTCACATGGAGACGTTGTTTAATATTTATAAGTGACGGCAGTGGTTGTCATTATAAATATTTATAGTGATTTAGTTTGTATGTCTCATGAGATGAGGGCAGCTCATATCTGCTAAATTGCTTCTTTGTTTTCAGTCTGTCTTTGGCTGTGGTTTGTTTGCATCTCTCTATGTCCTATTTATCATTTTCACATGCATTTATACACACGCTTTTCCTTCAGCCATTATAGCATTAATGGATTTCTGTCCCTCTGAGTGTGTATGTGTTGTTTGTTTGTTCACTCATTTCTCCTGAGGAATTTTGTTGGTTTATGTGTACATATTCATCTGTACATTTGACTTAGAAACAGTCAACAAAGAAAATAGTTATTTTGGGTTAGAAAAGCATAATTTTTTCCATTAATTATTCTCTGAACTCTCATTTATGCATTACAGGAAGGTTTGAGGTTAGCATGTTGCTCAGCTACTGGCACTAATAAGCACACAAAAAAAATCATTGCACACACACATATGTTAATTAATTAGATTGTGCTGTTTTAATCAGTATACTTTCCAGTATTTGCAGTTAATTTATAATCAATATTTCTTTCAGCTGATTTAGTCTTTTTGACCAAAATGCTATCTTAAAAGCTTTGGAGAGCCATTGACTCAGCTCTAGTGCTGATTTTTAGCTATTTGTATAGGCACCAATGTTTACTATTATTTTTCAGCCACTTGTAGTCTCACATAGCCGTATTTGTCTTGTTACATAAAGTCTGGTCCAGTTTGCAGCTTATTCTGGCTATTATCAGCCCAATTTGACAGGAAAGGTCTGAAATACGCACAGCACTAATAGTATTTAAATTACAGTTCAGTGAAGAAGAGGAGAGGATCTGTAGCTTTGACATAAGTGCTCATATTTCTTTATCTGGGTTTCTGTTCTCAATTTTTCTCTCATCATTCTTTGCTTTTTTCCCTTTAATCATAAAGAGCAGGAAGAAGGTGGACAGTCGCTGATGATGGTCTGTCTATAAAGTATAGCCCTTCAGAAATCATTCTAATATGCTGATTTGCTGCTCAAGAAACATTTTTTATTATTATCAATGTTGAAAACAGTTGTAATATGCTTAATATTCTGTGTATTTTTTCTTTGAATAAAAAGGTCAAAAGATCAGCATTTATTTTAAATAAATTTGACCTACGTCTAAACTCACATATTCGATTCCCCTCACAACTCCAAGCCACCACAATGCGTGGGTGACACGTTTGCCCATAAAGATAGCGTTTTAATGCCGGCGTGCTGTATGCGCTTGCGTTTTATTGAGATGGGAACTTTATATTTAAAGGGGTCATATGATGCGATTTCATGTTTTCCTTTGTCTTTGGAGTGTTAAAAGCTGTTTGTGCATACAAAAGATCCGTAAAGTCTCAAAGACTAAAGTCTCAAACCCAAATAGTTATTCTTTATAAAAGTGAACACTCAGCCACGCCTTCCTAAAACGCCTCGTTCAAAGACGC